ATTCCACATTATATATATAAAAAAAGAAACTCAGCTTTTCTTAAGTTTTTAATTATTTTTTTTTTTATGACACACTAATAGCTATATCAGAGAAGCAGACAGCAATTCGCAGAGCTGAATGTAGAACTTTTCTCGGCAACTGTCTTAGCTTTGTAGACTTATCAAAAGCTGTGCATCCAAACAGTTGGCGGTTAAGCAAGTTATATGACCTCTGTGTTGTTACATTCTCATGGTGATACGCTCATACCTGTAGTGTCTTACTTTTAAGGGTTAAAGAGGAACTGTGTAAACAACAGTTCCCCCATATTCTTATTTTTTGTCTTTATTATATCGTGTAGTTGGGTATGTGTATATAAAGAGAAAACTGTAACTTGAGTGTGTAACAAAATTAATTTCCCTCTGGGATTATTAAACTATTTCTGATTCTGATTCTGATTAAAACCAGCAGCTATTTTGATCCATGGAATTATCATGTCTGAAACAGGGGGGAGTTATGATGAATATAGTATAGTAACACACACAGGTGTGTAACTACTACTGCTTTTAAATTTTTTTGCATGTCTCACATGTTGTAAATACAATTCACAAGGAAATCAGATAACTAAGTGAATTCTTAGACTTTTCAAATACAGAACTGTTCAAAGAACATGTAATCTGCCCAGAGCTCCTTTAGTTTCCCCACAGGAAGGCCTGAAGCCTGAAGACCGAGTGCTGATTAAAATCATCAAAAGGAAGAATTGGGAAGCTCCAAAGTGGGAAGGACCCTACATAGTGCAACTAACAACCCCCACCGCTGTGAAGATCCAAGAGAGAAAACTTGAATCCACCAGAGTCATTGTAAGCTGATTAAAAAATTTTCCTCAGCAAGAAGCTCAGTTACTTTCACAGGGACCCCACGACTAAGGTAAAGATCTGTGGTGAAGTCAAGCTTCAAAGGGGTTTGGTTTTTTAGGACCACTCGTCTCAACGCTGGTGAAGAAACCAACCTAACCCAGTCTTTTAGAGTCCGGGTAGTGGGTGTTTCCTTGGAAGGACTGGTGAAGATGTGAAAAACCAAAGTGTTTTTTCTGCCCGGTGATGACCGTTGGACTGGTGTTACTAGGGACTCAAACTGACTGTCTGAAACAAAGGAGGAACAGAATGGTCTTTGATGAATCCACAGCAAGTCATCCTACAATGCCAAAATGTGGTGGCAGCATTCCAAGCGCGTTGCTGAAGATTTGAAAAAAACAGACTGTTATGTTTGTACTCATATTCCTATTTCTATGAATACAATATGAGTTGAAAGATCTAAAGAGGAATGTTAACCGTCACACTTCCGGTGCAGTTCCAGCACCATGGACAGTTTTGTTCACCATGAGATCACGGTGGCAGGTACTGATGAAGATAGCTTTACCATTCGGATGATTGTTAATCATATTTTTCCTTTTTATTTGTTGCTTAATACCATGCCT